ATATTGTTAGTGGTCCTCTCTTTTCAACTATTGTCCCTCTCACCTTTAAATCTGAAATTTTCACACCCCTCCTCAAGGAAAACACCCAACTCCTTTCCTCCTACTCTGCAATCTTCAAACACTCTTTCTTGAAGTTCTTGAACATGTTATGACCTTCCAAATCCATGTCTATCTTTGCTGAAATTCTGGATGAAATTTCAATTAATACAGTGGGAATATTAAGTTACGTGGGGGTGGGGGTGGGGGGTGGGGGTGGTGGTTGCACCAAAATGTCAAGCTCGTGATGATGGATTAAAAACAAGAAATTAAGTTGGCACTGTTGGCAGTGGTGGGTTGGGCCTCACCATGTCCTGTGGCCGATTCCTCCTTATATTATGTTTACATGTCATGAATATTCATTAGATTAAATCCTTTAGAAATGAAGTCCTACATTCAAGGTTAAGTCAAGGGCACACAACAACTACATGGCATCAGGTTCACAGTTGTTTAAAGGTGGTGTGCATTAGTTGGCTTTGTCCAGTCATGTCTGAGGTGAGTAATTCTCTTTGTTGAAGCCTGCAGTGCAGGAGAGAGGAGCAAGAGAATGGAAGCTTGGGAGAGGCAGTGGAAATCAGAGGTGAAGGAGGTGAGGGATTCAGGTGTGGTCCGTATGTGAAGGAGCAGAGGAAGGCTCTGAGGGAAGAGGATGGAGTTCAACCATGCAAACTTGCAGTGGGGAGGCCCTGGCATCTTGGGTATGGTGAGAGAGTTTAGGGGCTGTCAGTGTGGATGAAGAAAATAAGGGGCTTAAAGCGTCAAGTTGGTACTGTCCACATGTGGGTCAAATTCAAGGTGATGGCTGACAAAGGGAATGTTTACAGTCACTGACTGGACTGACTAGTTTTTAACGGCCAGGGTTATCCTCTTCCAAACAAGAGTATAATGTCTGTAGTTCTCTGGTCCTCTGGCACCATCCCTGTTTATAACGAGGATCAGAAAATTGCCGACAGCAGCTCTGAAATATCTACCTTTATTTCCTTCAGCAACCTAAGATGCAACCTACCCGGGTAAAGAGATCGACCTCTTCCGTGTAGCACCCATATTTCTGTTACCTTCTGTTTATTTTTATGCCATTCAGTATTGCAAAAGCCTCCTGTTCATAACAACTTTGGTAAAGTTCTCAGCTGGTACTGTTGGTGGTTGGTAAGCAGCATTCCCTGCCTTGGTAGTTGATCAATCCTGATGCACAGCTTGACTGCTATCATTTCAAACAAAAAAGGTATTGATGACTGATTTGCGTTGTAGAAACTTCAAGGCAGTCTGTGCAAAACGGGAATAGTAGGCCCCAAAGTGAACAGCCTATCATATCAAGGCAGTCATCATTCCATTATTTTTGTCAGTGTTACAGTGACAATAACAACTTGCATTCATGTAGCACCTTTACTGTAACATCCAAAGGTTTTTCACAGCAGCTTAGTCAGAGTCAATTTGACATTGGGCCACAAAAGGAGATATGGGAATGGAGCACCAAAAACTTGGTCAAAGAGTTGGGTGAGAAAGAACACCTTAAAGGAGGAATGAGGGACAGAAGGATGGGTAAGTTTCTGGAAGGCATTTTAGAGCTTATGTCTTAGCTGAAAGCTTGGCTGCTTTTCATAAGGGAAACTAAATCATGGATACACAAGGTGTAAAAAGCTGAGATCTTGTAGAGTTGTAGGGTTGAAAGAGATTACAGAGATTGGGAGGGTTGAGTAAAAGTGAGGAACATAAACACAAGGACTGAATAACAAATTTGGACCCAATGTTTCACCTCAGTGATAATGACAGAATAGGATTAATGTGTTAAGATAATAAGCAACTGGATTTTGAGTGAGCTCATGTTTACAGATCATGTTTAGAAATGTTCAAAATGATGAGGGGAACAAAGTAAATTGGCCCTGTTGATAGAGGGGTAAATAACGAGAGACAGTAATTTAAGGTGATTGCCAAATAAAGAAGTAATGGCAACATCATGAGGAAAAGTCTTTTTGGGCAGCTGGTCATTAGGATTCAGGATGTTTTGCTTGAGACTATGGTGGAGGTAGATGGAATTAATGCTTTTGAAAGAGAATTGGACACAAGCATCATTGGTGGTGTCAATCACATGGGCTACTTAGCCTGGATGGTTTCAAGTTTCTTGACTGTTATTCAAGCTATACTCATCCAGGAAAGTGGGGAGTATTCAAGCGTACTTCAGTCTTCTGCTTTGTAAATGGATGACAGACTCTGGGGAGTCATTGCTGCAGGATTCTGAGTCTCTGACTGTTTTTGTAGCCACAGTATTTCTAAGGCTAGTCTAGTTCAGTTTCTGGTCAATGGTAACCCACGGGATGTTGATAGTAGTTAGTTTCATAATGGTAGTCTCATTGAATGTCAAGGGATGATGGTAAGACTCTCTCCTGTTGAAGATGGCATTTGTGTGGTAAAAATGTCACTTGGCACCTATTAGCCCAAACCTGGATATTGTCTAGGCCTTTTCTCATTTGGATGTGGACTGTTCCAGTATTTGAGAAGTTGTGAATGTCGCTGAACATTGTGTAATTATCAGCAAATATCCCCATTTTTGACCTCGTGATAGAGGGTGTCAATGAAAATCCACAGGATATTGATAGTAGGATATTTAGTGATGCTAATGCAATTGCATGTCAATGGATGGTGGTTACATTGTCTCTTATCGAAGATTATCATTGCCTGGCACTGATGTGACACAAATGTTATTTTAGTGTAATTCTCACTGGATTTGGATGAATTGGGGTATTTTAGGGGTAATTATAGTTAGGGTTGTGTGTACAGGGGTGATTAAGAGAAAATTACCACTGTAGTTAGGTGTACATAGGTATTTTAGGAGTACGTTGCCCTCCAAGACACTCACTATCCTGATTTGAAATTATATCATCATTCCTTCACTGCCACTAGGTCAAGGTCCTGGAATACCCTCTGTAATGGCATTGTGGGTCAACCCACTGCAGGTGGACTGCAGCGGTTCAAGAAAGCAGCTCATCATCACCTTCTCAGTGGCAACAAGGGACGGACAATAAATGCTGGCCAACCAATGACACCCACGCCCCACAAATGAATAATAAAAAATCATTGGCGTTGGATGAACAGGGATATTTTGGGAGTCATTATCATTGTTGTTGGATGAACAGGGGTATTTAGGAAGTAAATATAGAAGTAATTGTGTGAGCAAGTATATGGGAGTATTTGTAGGGGCAACTGTGTGAACAGCAGTGTTTAGAGCTATTTGTGTGAATGGAGCATTTTAGCGTTAATTATGGGGGTAATTGTGTAAACAAGAGCTGTGTAAACAGCATCGCTTTGTGCAGGGCAGGTCATGTCTTATTAACTTGATTGAATTTTTTGAGGAGGTGATCAATGAGGGTAGAGCAGTGAATGTTGTCAAAGTGGATTTTATTAAGGCTTCTCACAAGGTCTCTCATGGTAGGCTCATCCAGAAGATTAAGATGCATGGGATCCATGGTGACTCGGCCACATGGATTCAGAATTGGATTGTCCACAGAAGGCAGGGTGTAGCGGTGGAAGGCTGTTTGTCAGGCTGGAGCTCCGTGACTAGTGGTGTTCCACAGGATCCATACTGGGACCTCTGCTGTTTGTGATTTATATAAATGACTTGGATGAAAATGTAGATGGGTGGATTAGTAAATTTGCAGATGGTATAAATATCAGTGGAGTTGTGGATAGTGTAGAAGGTTGTCAAAGGATACAGCAGTATATCGATCAGTCGCAGAGATGGGTGGACAAACGGCAGATGGAGATTAATCCATGTAAATGTGAGATGCTGCACTTTGGGAGATCAAATGTTAAGGAAAGGTATAAGGTTAATGGCAGGACCCTGAACAGCATTGATGTACAGAGGGATCTAGGGGTTCAAGTCCATAGCTCCCTGAAAGTGGCCACGCAAGTAGATAGGGTGGTGAAGAAGGCGTATGGCATGCTTGCCTTTATTGCTCGGGTATTGAGTACAAGAGTCAGGATGTCATGTTGCAGCTTTATAAGACTTTGGTTAGACCATGCTTAGAGTACAGCATTCAATTCTGCTCGCCACATTACAGGAAGGATGTGGAGGCTTTGGAGAGGGTGCAGAAGAGGTTTACCAGGATGCTTCCTAGATTAGAGGATATGAGCTATAAGGAGAGGCTAGAAAAACTTGGGATGTTTTCTCTGGAGCAGTAGATGCTGAGGGGAGACTTGATAGAAGTCTATAAAATTATGAGATTAATCGATCGGGTTGACGGTAGGAATCTTTTTCCCAGAGTTGCAATGTCTAAAACTAGGTGGCATGCATTTAAGGTGAGGGGGAAAGTTCAAAGATGTAAGGGGCAAGTCTTTTTTGCACAGAGAATGGTAGAAGTTTGGAACACGCTGCCAGGGTGGTGGTGGAAGCAGATATGAATAGGGGTGTTTAAGAGATTTTTAGGTAAGCACACGAATATGCAAGGAATGGAGGGATATGGACCAAAGGCAGGCAGAAGAGATTAGTTTAATTTGGCACATGTTCAGCACAACATTGTAGGCTGAAAGACCCATTCCTGTCCTGTACAGTTCTATGTTCCAAGGATGTTACAGAAATAATTGTGTGAACAGGGGCATTTGAGGGGAAATTATATGAACAGAGGTATTTTTAAGGTAAATATGTGAATGGGCATTTTAGGGGCAATTATGAGGATAATTGTGTTAAAGGGGGTATTTTAGGGGTAATTGTGTGAACAGGGGCTTTGTACAGGTAATTATGGATGATTGTGTGACCAGAGGTTTATAGATGTAATTATGAAGTAATTGTGTGAACAGGGGCATTTTAGGGTGTAATTATGTGGACTGGGGAATTTTAAGAATAATTATAGGGTCACTGTGTGAACAGGGGCATTTCAGGGGTAACTATGGGGGCAATTCTGTGAACAGCCCTGCAGCTGGATGTTTGGGATCGCAGTGCGCAGGCGCGTGACGTCAGCCGGAGCCGGGATGACCGCCAGTGACCCCGGAGCGCGAGTTGCCGCCGAAGGCTTGAGCTGAGGCCGGATTCCGGACACTGACCACAGGCCGGAGCATGGACACCCCGAGGCCGGCACACAACATCGCCAACGGGCTGCAGAATGGCTTTCACCCGGGGCCCAGCCGCCGCAGCCCGGAACAAGAGAACGAATCCCCCGCCAAGAAATGCCGCATCCGCAGGAGGATAGACTCGGGGAGAAAAAACAGACCCCGTAAGTGAGAGTGGTAATTGGAGCGGGAGCGGGAACGGGAGGGGGAGTGGTAATGGGAGGGGTAACTGGAGGGGGAGGGGAAGTGGTAATTGGAGCGGGAGTGGGAGGGGTAACTGGAGGGGGAGGGGAAGTGGTAATTGGAGGGGGAGGGGTAAACGTGAGTGGGGGGGGGGGGTAAACGTGAGTGCGGGGCGGGGGTATGTGGGCCAAGTGAGTGGGGGGGCGGAGTGCGGAGAAAAGCACTGGGTTGGGAGGGGTTAATGTCATTGGGGTTGTGTGAACAGTGCTATTATGGGGGTAATTATCATTGGGGTTAGGTAAATAAAAGTATTCGGTGGGTCCTTATCAAGGGCTTGGTATACGGAGTAGGGGATTTAGGGATTTTATTGGATTGGATTGGATGGACTGGAAAACTTGCGAGGAGGTGGAAGAATATAGGTTGTAGAGGGAGGGATTGGAGGCTGCCGGATTATGGGACAATAATCCGATGGAGATATGGGATTGGGGAATGAGGTGGGAAGGAGATCGGTGAGTGTGGATGGAGAAGGGTGGCTGGGGACTGAGAATAGAAGAGGGAGAGATGCAGTAGGAGATGAGAGGGAAAGGTGGAGACTGAGGAGAGGCAGGAGTGCAGTGGGAGATGGGACAGTTGTTCGGGGGCTTTGAGGGTTGATTTGTACCTCTGTGTGCAGAGAATATGAGATGATACAGATTTATCACGTATTAATTGAACATATGGTCTGTTCACTTGAATATCACATTATCGAAGATGACTGGCGTAAATGAGTTCGAAAAATTCTGCGGGTATTTACTGATGGTCATCTGTAGTTTCTATACACTGTAGTTTCTGTGTTGGCAGTGGTTAAGCATGGTGCTGTAGTCCGGTTCCCGGTGAATGGTGTCGTTATGTTATTGCTGCGATCCTTGAACGTCGTGTCTTCCTGCAGCGCTGATTTGTCTGATTGGGTAGCGTCTCCTCAGGAGGTTCTGGTTCGTTGTTAGTAATCACTTGTGACTTCGCAAGCCGACCGTCATGACCAATAAAACCACTACATGTAAAGTACACCCACTGACACAAGGGAAAAGGTAACGTGAATCTTGCCAAAGTGCGGGAGCAAGTTTTCTGGTCGCTTTACATTTACAGATATTCTGCATGTATGAACAGTTTTTGTTTAGTCGTTCACTTTGCACGTTTGAGCTGAGTTTACATTGCAGCATATTTGAGTTTTGAGACTTTTAAAAAAAGTTGCTAGAGAGCTTACGATCTGCTAACAATTATAATTGCAATGAAGCTCAAAGAAGATATGAAACGGAAAGAAGCTAAAAAGCCATGTAAGTAACTTACTTAACTTCAGAGACTAGTACTACACCTTAACTTTCAAAAGGATAAATTCTTAAGGGAAGGGATTGCAAGATTATGGGAAAAAGACAGGAAATGGGTTGGTTTGCTCTTCCAAAGAGTTGGTGTATGAATGATGGGCCAAATGTCATTCTTCTGTGCTGTATTGTTGAGTTTGACTCTAACCTTGACAATTAAGTTCCAGCAGGTGATTTATTATTACTGCATCCAGGAGACATTTGTTCAATGTTGGGATACTCAACAGAAAGTCAATGTGTGCAGTAAACATCAGTACTCAGAGGTTGACCATGGATGTTTTGTCCATTGCCTCAAACATGACTATATAAAATAATGGATTATCAGCAATGAACCCAAGGGTTCTTTGCGCAATCACCAATTTGGATGAAATTTCTTTAGAACGGATGTCAAAATCAAAGAATTGAAAATCAGAATTTGTCAAATTTGTCTTGAAACTTGATTAGCCTACGCTTGGAATGTGGACCGCAGTTCTGGTTTGCTTATATAAAACAGAAAGATAGAGACAATGGAGAAGCTGCAAACAGGGTTTACAAAGATGCTACCAGAACTGAGATTGCAACTATGTTGGTGAACTGGGATAACTTTCCCTAGATAATAGGAGGCTGAGGGACGTTCTGGTGGAAGACTTTAAAATTATCAAAAAGATTGACCAGCTAGACAAAGTGTAGATATTTTCACTTGTATGGAGACCCGTGACAACAAGGAACAGTTGATGTGAGTAATGTGGTTTTAGGGAAAATTTATCAAAAAGAAAATAAAATGTTTGAGTGGAACGGATGGGCTGAGTGACCTGTTTTTGTTCTTCTAGTCTTGTCTAAATGTACACCATTCCTTGCCCACCTCTGATTTCTTTGAGGCCATGACATGCCAAGAAGTAAGCCATGTATTGTGTTAATGCTGTAGAAGGCATTTACAAAGTTCTACAGATTTTTTTAAACATTGAAAATGTGAATTCAGGGTAGGTGTTATCGATGGACAAAGGAAGGTGGTGCCCTCTAGTGGTATTATTGCTAGACTGTTGATCCAGAAACCCAGGTCTCCAGAATATTACCTGAATCCTGCCATGGCAGATGGTGGAATTTTCAATTCAACAAAAATCTGGAACTGAAAATCTAATGATGATCATGAAACCATTGCTGATCTTTGGGTGAAAACTTATCTGGTTCAGGGAACTGTTGTCCTTACCTGGTCTGGTTTGCATGTAACTCCAGAACTACAGCAGTATGGTTGACTCTTTGAGTCATCGTCATACAGGATGGAAACAGACACTTTGATCCAACTAGTCCAGGCCGACCATGTTCCCAAACTAAACTAGTTTCACCTGCCTGTATTTGGCCCATATCCCTCCAAACCTTTCCTATTCATGTACTTATCCAAATGTCTTTTAAACATTGTAACTGTATCTGCATCCACTGCTTTCTCTGGCAGTTCATCCTACACACTTACCACTCTGTGTGGGGTGAGAGAGGAAAAAGTTGACCCTCATGTCTTTTGTTTAAATCTTTCTCCTGTCATCTTAAGAATATGTCCCCTAGTTTTGAGCTCTCCCACCTTAGAGAAAAGACCTTAGTTAATAAGCTTATCAGTGCCTGTCATAATTTTATAAACCTCTATAAGGTCACGCCTCAATATCCTATATTCCAGTGAAAAAAGTCCCAGCCTATCCAGGCCATTTTAGGACTCAAAATCTCTATTCTTGGCAACATCCTGGTAAACTGTTCTGTGGGCAGCTAGGGATGAGCATTAGATGCTGGCCTATCCAGTGACATCCACATGTCATGAATGAATCTAAAGAAATAACAGTTTGGCTGAAGGATAGGAAGCAATTTGATATTTAATGAGTTATGCTTGAGTTGGGGCAGGGAGCTGAGTTACAATGTGTGCATTGGTGTAAGGGGCTCATTAATTATTTCTAATTTGCATCAGTGTAAGTTGGTCACACTTGTATATGATTTTAGGGAGTGGAATTAGAAGAGGCAGCTCAGAAATTATAAGAATGCAATATAAGTGGGCATGAATAATGGTAGATTAATTCCAACAAGCATAAAATCCTGCCTGCCAGAAATTTGCTTATACTCTTTAAATCGTACTTAAATAAAGATGAGATTAAAAGTGACCTTGGCATTTGACTTAAGGCTGTCCAGGCCTGTGACCCTGGTTTCAGCCTCCTTGCTCTGGCCATAGAGTTATATAGCACAGAAACAGACCCTTCGGTCCAAATGGCCCATGCTGACCAGATATCCCAAAATGACCTGGTCGCATTTGCCGGCATTTGGCCCATATCTCTCATAAACCCATCTAGATGCCTCTCAAATGTTGTAATTGTACCTGCCTCTACCACTTTCTCTGGTAGCTCATTCCATATATGTGCTACCATCTGTGTGAAAAAAGTTATCCTCAAGTACTTAAACCTATGCCCTCTAGTTTTAGACTCCACTGTCCTAGGAAAAAAGACCTTGACTGTCCACTCTATCCATGCCCTCATGATTTTATAAGCCTCTGAGGTCACCCGTCAGCCTCCGACACTGGGGGCAGGAACCCCACCCTATTCGGCCTCTTCCCTAAAACTCAAACCCTCCGGTCCCGGCAACATCCTTGTAAGTCTTTTCTGTACCCTCTCAAGTTTAACAGCATCCTCCTAGAAGGGCAACCAGAATTGTATGCAGTATTCTAAAATAGGCCTCACCAGGCCCTGCCCTAGTTTGCCTTACCAAAATTCAACACCTTACATTTATCTAAAGTAAACTCCATCTGCCACTCTTTAGCCCAAATGATCAAGATCCTGTTGTACTTTGAGATAGTCTTCTTCGTTGTCTATGATACCACCTATTTTAATGTTATGTGCAAACTTACTATCCATGCCTCCTACATTCATGTCCAAATCATTTAAATAAATGACGAAAAGTCGTGGACCCAGCACTGATTCTTGTGGCACACCGCTTGTCACAGACCTCCAGTCCGATATTTTATAGAATCACAATTTGCAACATTAATGGTATATTTAAGTGACTGACGTTCCCATGGGGACTTCATAAAATTCCAGTCAGGTGTATACTTTGTGTTAGCTCAGATGTGCGACCTTTCTGTTAAAACACTTACGGACTCTTCCTTTGCAAAATAAGTAAAGGCGTTAACTTTGTCTACTTTTTAAACGTGTGCATATCATCGTTTGATGGGTGATTCAAAAATTTGCCAATTTTAAAATTTGTGTAAATGGTTCTGTGACCAGTGGCTTATGAAAATAACACATAAAGCTTGCATTTTATGCAGAGACTCTCCATAACAGTTCACTGGCAATTAAACACTCAAACTCTCATCACAATTGCGTGAGAAACGTGGCAACTAATTTTGTGCATAGCAACGTCTCTCAGATGGTTAAGTGATAATGGCTAGTATGCTGAAGCTGGAGCTAAGAAGCTCTTAAGCAAAGAAATCAAAACTCTATAGTCCTGCCACATCCAGTGGTGAATGGTGTTGGACAATTAACAACTAACTGGAAGAGGTTCCACAAATACCCCCATTTTCAGTGGTGGTGGAGCCTAACACATTCTTGCTAAAAGTAAGACTGATGAATTTGCTTTAATTTTCAGCCAGAATACATATTTGCTGCATCCTGAGATTT